GTTTATTCACTTATTTTATTTTTAAATATTTCAGACTTAGAGGAAATTATCAAGAATAGTTTAAAGAATTTCCTGTACCCTTCACTCACTTTTTTTTTTTATCATTGTTCTATAGGCTGCATCATTCTGTTCCTCTCCATATATGTGCCATTTTTCTTCTGGTCCATTTGAGAGTAGATTCATTTTATCCTTAATACTTTATTGATGTATTTTTATTTTTTTGTGAGGAGAGATCAATTTATAGTTCCAATTATTTATGCATTCTCATCGATTGATCCTTGTATGCTCCCTGACCAGGATCGAACCTGTGGCCTTGGCATATGGGAACAATATTCTAACCCAGCGGTCACCAACCTTTCGGACCTCATGTACCACCAGTGGTCCTCAGACCACTTGTTGGCAAAGGCTGCTGTAATCAACTGAGCTACTTGGACAGGGCCTTTACCCTTAATACTTTAGTGGGGTTTTCCCATAAACAACCAGAGAACGTTGTCAAATTTAGCTAGTTAACAATGAAGTAATTATTACTTTCATCAATACACAGCCAGTTCTGTTTTTGTCAGTTGTCCCAACTATATCTTTTAGCATTTTTATCTTGGAATCAGATCCAGTCCAGGACACCACATTTTCATTTAGTCGTGTCCTTTCATCTGTAACAGCTACACAACCTTTCTTTTCCTTTCATGACACTACATGTGTTTGCTTGTTTTATATTTGGTGGTTTTTTTTACAGTTGTACTCAGGGTAAGATTTATTACAGCAAAAGTAACATGTTTTTAAAATGCAGGCCAGTTTTCTTATATTATCTCTGTTTGTCTGATTAGATTCAGTTCATGCATATTTAATGAGAATCCCACATGGACGTGTCATTTCCTCTTAGTATTATGTCCAGAAGCACACACGATTCTTTTGCTCCCATATAATCATTTGGTTAAGGTGTTACCTGGTTTCTCCACTCTACTGGTATTTTCCTTTGGTGATTATTAATAAATTATATTAATTTATTAATTTATTAATTTATCTCCCAATATGGAGATATTTTAAGACTATGTAAACCTCTTATTTCCCATCAGACTCTCACTGGCTTGATTCCTGCCTGAATCCATTTTTACCTTGATGAACAGTGATTTTTTTTTTTTTTCTGTCATGAGTATGAATTCATGGAATCTTAGTTACTTATTTGATGCCAAAATTGTCCCCTATTTGGCTGGTGGGAGCACTTTTCAGCTGCCTTCTTGTCCTTTTAAAACAGCCCTGCATATTTGAGTACTTTTTAATTTTCTGGCAAAAGGTGTTTGAGGCTTACCATACTGTATTTTTTAAATTGTGGTAATATATAACTTACCATTTTATTTTATTTTTAATATATTTCTATTGATTTCAGAAAGTAAAGGAGAAGGAGAGAGAATTGAAACATCAATGATGAGAGAGAATTGTTGATTGGCTGCCTTCTGTATGCCCCTAACTGGGGATCAATCCCACAACTTGGGCATGTGCCCTGACCGGAAATGGAACCGTAACCTCTTGGTTCATGGGTCGACACTTAACCACTGAGCCGTGTCAGCTGAGCAACTTGTCATTTTAAAGTGTACAGTTCAGTGCATTAAATTGTACATCCATCACCTCTGTCTAGTTCAGAACTTTTTCATCATCCCAAATAGATACTGGACCCATTAATCAGTCATTCCCATTCGACCCCTACTATACACACACTGCCCCAGCCCCTGGCAACCACTAATCCCTTCTCTGTCTATGGATTGGCCTATACTGGACATTTCATATAAATTAAATCATATAATATGTGGTCTTCTATGTCTGACTTCTTTAACTGTATTTTCAAGGTTAAGCTATGTTGTAGTATGTATCACTGCTTCATTCCTTTTTAAGGCTGAATAATTTTCCATTGTTTGGATATACCACACTTTGTTTATCCATTCATCTGTTAATAGACACTTGGGTTGTTTCCACTTTCAGCAATTTGAATAATGCTGCTGTGTGTAATTATTGTTTGAATAGATATTGTCAGTTCTTTAGATATATCCCTAGAAGTAGGAATTTCTGGGTCTTGCAATAATTCTGTTTACTAGTTTTCCACAGTAGCTGCATCATTTTACATTGCCATCAGCAACACACAAGGGTTCTAATTTCTCCACATCTTCAGTATTTGTTATTTTCAATTCTTTGATTATATAATATCCATTTTAGTGTTATATCCCATTTTGATTTGGTTAGCTTTTTCCTAAGAACTAATATTGAGCATCTTTTCGTGTACTTATTGGCCATTTGTAGATCTTCTTTGAAGAAGTCTGTTTAAACCCTTTGCCCATTTTTAAATTGTGTTGTCTGTTTATTGTTGAATTGTTGTTTTATTTTTTTAAATGCATTTTTATCGATTTCAGAGAGGAAAGGGAGAGGGAGAGAAAGAAACATCAGTGATGAGAGAGAATCACTGATTGGCTGCCTCCTGCAACCCCCCTACTGGGAACTGAGCCCACAAAACAGGCATGTGTCCTTGACCAGAATCGAACCTGGGACCATTCAATCCACAGGCTAATTAATTATCTGAGCCAAACTGGCTAGGGCTATAAGAGTTCTTTATATATTCTATATACTAGACCTTTATCACGTATGTGATTTGCAAATATCTTCTCTCATTCTATGAGGCTAATTAATTACCTGAGCCAAACTGGCTAGGGCTATAAGAGTTCTTTATATATTCTATATACTAGACCTTTATCACGTATGTGATTTGCAAATATCTTCTCTCATTCTATGAGGTGTCTTATTACTTTCTTGATAATGTCCTTTGCATAAAAGTTTTTAATTTTTATAGTCCAGTTAATCTGTTATTTCTATTGTTTCTAGTACTTTTGGTATCATATCTAAAAAAAACTATTGCCAAATCCAAGATGATGAAAGTTTTACTTCTGTTTTTTTCTAGTTTTCGCTCTTACATTTATGTCTTTGATTCATTTTGAGCCTGCAGTTGTAAACTAGCACATAGTAAACACCCAATGTTAGTGGCATATTATGATTATGATTATCATTAACACATTAGGAATTAATATCAAGGAAATAATTTTTAGGAAAGGTATGCATTGATTTTTATCACATTATTGACTTAATTTTTAGGTCATATAGTTTGATTTAGTAGATATTTTTTCTGAAAAGAGTCCTTTTAGATATACTCTAAAATAGTTAAAAATTAATATACACTAAAATACTTAGAAATGAAATTATTTCACGCCTGGGATTTGATGTTGAAGTTGGGTAATGGGGTATGATTGTAGAGGTGAGTTAGAAGCATGCAGAGGAGTTTGCCAAATAGATATGACACAGATAGGCATTTCTAACAGAGGACACCACTTTGACAGAAGCACAGAGGCACTCACAAGTATTTTATACAGAGTGTACAGCAATAAAGATTTCAGACCTGGTTCTGCCCTCTTTAGCTCTCTGTCCAGAGGAGCTATTCACAAATTGCAATAACTACTATCAGAGCTGAGAGTGGTTGGAGAAGGCTTCTCTGAGGAAGCAGTTCTGAAAAATGAGTCGGTATTATTAGGAAAGTGGTTTCCCAGATCTGGTAGAGGAGATGTGAGAGAGGATGAGACCCTGTGCTCAGTGAAATGGAAAATGGGGCTACAGAGCATCAAGGGTGGGAGGCATAGGAGAGGCCAGTGAGGTCAGAAGTTTTAGAGGAAAGGGGTCTTAGCAAGCCACAGAAGAATGTTACTATTACGAAGAACGTGAAAATGGTGCAAAATTGGGAGGAAGGAGGCGGCCATGGATATCCCAGCATGTGTGGAGTGGGTGGAAAGACAAACCAAAGAAGACTCAGAAAGTGTAGACCTAGAGGCAGGAAGTCCAAGCAATGAGTGTCATAGACACTAGGAGGAATCAGGAGCCTGCTTCATGGAAAGCTGTTGAGAATGGATCATCTCACAAGATGAAGCCTGAGGAGAGCCATTAGTTTTAGCAGATCACTGGTTACCTGAGTGCAGGGTAAAGCACATGTGAATGGAACTAAAGAAAATAATGAGCAAAAGGAAGTTAGAGGAACAGATGTAATGCACATAAACATTCTAGAGAAACACTATCAGAGGAATAAGGCAGTCTGTCCATAGACAGGAACAGGTACAAAAGTGGGAAAGGAGGGGACACCTGGAAGAGGGGAGCTCGGGGCTTAAAATGAGATATCAGCAATAACAATATTGGCTGACAGTTTGCAAAATGTAAAAAACCTTCCATGAAAATAATGACCTGCTATGTCTTGTTTCCTGTGTTACACTGCCTGAGTGTTTTATATTACCCCTCACAGCGGTTTGATGCCCAGGTCTTGCCGTTACCATGGATCGTGGTTCAGAAATGAGGCATCCCAAGGCCCTAAGAGTAATTAAGAGTCAATGAGAGCTTGAGCTAAGGCCTGGTAAGATACACCTGGGCCTTAGACAGTGTCTCTGAGGATGGCCACTGTGGTCTTCATTACATATGCTATCAGCCACGGAAGCCTGGGTATGGAGTGTAGCGGGTATAAAGAACAACCTGTTTGTTTGCCAAAACCGTTTTGGCTCAGTGAATAGAGTGTCGGCCTACGGACTGAAAGGTCCCAGGTTTGATTCCGGTCAAGGGCATGTACCTTGGTTGCGTGCACATCCCCAGTAGGGGATGTGCAGGAGGCATCTGATCAATGTTTCTCGCTCATCAGTGTTTCTAGCTCTCTATCCCTCTCTCTTCTTCTCCGTGGAAAGTCAATAAAATATATTTTAAAAAATAAAATAAAATGCAACCTGTTTGTACATAAAACTAGTTCCAAGTGTTATCCCACTGTGTGAGGGAAAACCCCTATGTCCTAGGTGGTAAACATTTTTCACAGGTAATAGAATCCAGAAAAATAACTGTCAGAATAGAATTTGATCTTTTTATTTAGCTGTGAAAAATTGTAAATTGAATTATTAATGGTGTTTAGCATAGATAAATTGTTTTCCTTTGCTTGACAGATGATTAAACTTCAAGAAGTATTTAAGACATTTTATCTCGGAAAGCACAGTGGTCGAAAACTTCAATGGCAGACTACATTGGGACATGCTGTTTTAAAAGCAGAGTTTAAGGAAGTAAGTTCTTTGTTAAATCTACTTTTTATTTTTGTAAGTATGTTAACAATTTTTAAAATTGTAATTGAACTTTGGTAGCAAGGAAAGGAAAATATTCAGTATAATTCAACTTTGACTCTTGTAGGTCAATAAAATTGGAACAGTTGAAGGATTAATATCCAAATCAATAAGGAGTCAACAGGAGCCAAAACTGGTTTGGCTCAGAGGATAGAGCATCGATCGGCCTGCGGACTGAAAGGTCCCAGATTCGATTCCGGTCAAGGGCGTATACCTTGGTTGTGGGCACAACCCAATAGGGGTGTGCACGAGGCAGCTGATCGATGTTTCTCTCTCATTGATGTTTCTAACACTCTCTCTTTCTCTCTGTAAAAAATCAATAAAGTATATTTTAAAAAAAGAAGAAGAAGTAGTCAACAGGAATAAAAAAAAATTTACCTAATTGAAAAATGAGCAAAGGATGTGGAGAGGCAACTCATAAAAGCAAGACTAAAAAATCAATATTCATGAAAATGTGTTCCACTTCTCTGCCAACCAAAGAGTTGCAAATTAAAGCACAATAAAGTGCCACTTTTGATTATGAAATTGATAAAGGCTAAAATTAAAAGAAACAGCAACTCTTGCCCACTGTTGGTGGGATAACATGAACTTTATGAAGGGTGGTTTGACAATGTGTATCTCAAAACTTCTCAAATCACATGCTTTGTTGCCTTAGCTTCAAGTCTGGGAATTTATCTTAAGACCTTTTTTCAGGTTAATGAATAAAAATATCTGTTGCAGTGCTATTTTTTAATGGTTTTTTAAAACATTTTTATTGATTTCAGAGAAAGATAAAAATATCAGTCATAAAATCATTGATTGGCTGCCTCCTATAGACCCCACTCTAGGGAACGAGCCCACAACCCAGGCATGTGCCCTGAACAGGAATCGAACCATGCCCTCCTGGTTCATAGGTTGATGCTCAACCACTGAGCCACACCAGCAAGGCTGCAGTGCTATTGTTAAAAGTGATCGTTTAAAAGGGGAAATGCATGCAATGTATTGATAAATGAAAGAAGCATGTCACAAAACATATTCAAATTTAACTTCAATTTTATAAATAAACTTATGTACACTAAGCAAAAACAAACAAGATTTTTCTTTTGCTGACTATTTTAATACACTATCATAAATTATACAGTTGATCCTTGAGCAACTACAGTTTGAACTGTTTGGGTCCACTTATATGGGGGTTTTATTTTTTAAAAAGTATAAATGGCAGGTGATCTATAGGTTCAATGCAATTCCTATCAAGATACCAGCAGAGTATTTCACAGAACTAGAACAAACATTCCAAAATATTTATATGGAACCACAAAAGACCCAGAATAGCTACAGATGTCTTGAGAAAGAACAAAGTTGGAGGAATCATGCTACCTGTTAAACTATACTACAAGGCCATAGTAATTAAAACCATGTTATGGCATAAAAACAGACATATAGATCAATGGAACAGAATATAGAACCCAGAAATAAACCCATGCCTTTATGATTACTTATGTTTGACAAAGAAGGCAAGAACATACAATGGAATCAAGGCAGCCTATTCAACAAATGATGTTGGGAAAATTGGATACCTGCAAAAAAGTGAAACTAAATCACCTTAGAACACCATATACAAAAATAAACTCAAAAGGGATTAAAGACTTAAATGTAAGACTGGAAATCATAAAAATCCTAGAAGAAAACATAGGCAGTAAAATCTGTGACAATTCTCCTAGCAATATTATACATTCACATACACACACACACACACACACACTAGAAGCCCAATGCACGAAGATTTGTGTAAGAATGGGCCTTCATTTCCCTGGCTGCTCGTAGGGAAATGAATTGAACCTTCACTCCGGCCTGAAGCCTCCTTTCCGCCTTCACATGTTGTCCAGAGGCCTGGAGTAGCTGGGGTGGTGCGGAAAACCTGTGCCGTCGCCATAGCGATGACACAAGTCTCCCGCCCCAGGCTGCTCAGTGCCTGTGTATGCAAATTAACCTGCCATCTTTGGTAAGTTAATTTGTATACTCCTGATTGGCTGGTGGGCATTGCAAAGGTACAGTCAATTAGCATGTTACTCTTTTATTAGATAGATACATATCTTTGGGCAAGGGAAACCAAAGAAAAAAATAATAAATGGGACTACAACAAACTAAAATGTCTGCACAGCAAACTAAAAAGACAACGGACTGCGTTGGAGAACGTATTCACCAATACGTCTGATAAGGGGTTAATATCCAAAATTTATGAAGATTTTATAAAACTCAACACCAAAATAAACAATGAAATTAATAAATGGGCCAAGTACCTAAAATTGATACTTCTCAGAAGAGGATATACATATGAAAAGATACAAATTAAAATCACAATGAGATATCACCTCACACCTGTCAGAATGGCTTTCTTCAGTAACACAACAAATGGTGTTGGTGAGGATGTGGAGAAAAAGGAACCCTTGTACACTGTTGGTGGAAATGCAGATTGGTACAGCCTCTATGAAAAAAATTAAAAATGGAACTATCTTATGACCTAGCAGTTCCATTTCAGGAATATAATCCAAAGAAACCTGAAACACAATTCTGAAGAATGTATGTACCCCTTTATTCATTGCAACATTATAACTAGAGGTCTGGCGCATGAAATTCACACAGCATACGGTCCCTAATCTGGCTGCTATCAGGGCCTTCCGGCTTCCAGCCAGGGCCTCCCTTCAACTGCCAGCTGGGGCCTGCCTTTGTTCTACATCACCCCCTGGTGGTCAGTGCACATCATAGCGTGCAGTTGAGCTGCCGTAGCATATTATTAGCATACTAGAGTCCTGGTGCACAAAATTCATGCACGGGAGAGGGAGGGAGGGGTGTCCCTCAGCCCAGCCTGCACCTTCTCCAATCTGGACATCCCTCTCACAATCCAAGACTGCTGGCTCCCAACTGCTCGCCTGCCTGCCTGCCTTCCTGATTTCTCCTAACCATTTCTGCCTCCCAACCTGATCACCTCTTAACCACTCCCCTGCCAGCCTGATTGATGCCTAACTGCTCCCCTGTCAGCCTGTTTGCCCTTAACTGCCCTCGCCTGCCGGCCTGGTCACCCCTAACTGCCCTCCCCTGCAGGCCTGCTCCTCCCCCCAACTGCTCTTCCCTGCAGGCCTGGGTCCCCCCACCAACTGCCCTTCCCTGCAGGCCTGGTCACCCCCAACATCCTTCCTCTGCTGGCCTGGTCACCCCTAACTGCCCTCCCTTGCAGGCCTGGTCCCTCTCAACTGCCCTCTCCTGCTAGCCATCTGTGGCAGCCATCATGTATCCACATGGGGGCAGCCATCTTGTGTGTTGGAGTGATGGTCAATTTGCATATTACTCTTTTATTAGATAGGATTATGCTTTGATTGGTTGAATCAACAACTGGACACTTAGCTTATAAGGCTTTTATTATATACAATTATGCATTTATGTTACATTGTGTTGTTATGCAAGGTTATACACATAAAGCCACACCTCCTAGTCTTTAAGGTATTATAAAAATTAACCTTTTGCACTCCGCTGTCCCCTCTCAGGGGACATCAGAATTCTAGCATATCACTCGGATGTCCCCTCTCAGGGGACATTGCAGTTTATTAGTGATTACGGGGAATTGAGTTAATTCAACGCACGTTTCACAAAGTAGCGTCGAGTAGCTGGTAGCCAATGTCCAGAATGGTTCGGAGTGCAAAGGGTTAAGATATGATCCCCTCACTGCCCTCTTCAGAACTGTCCGCCAGACTGCGATTTTTCCCTTTCATAGCGAGGCTTGAGGATGAATCACTCACAGCATGCTCTGTTGTCTACACAGAACTAATATATGTATGGAAAGTCCTCTGTAGTGAGGACTTTTTAAATAGAGGTGGGGCCCAGCCAGCATAGCTCAGCGGTTGAGCGTCACCCTATGAAATAAGGTCATGGTTCAGTTCCTAGTCAGGGCACATGACCAGCTTTGGGCTCCATCTCTAGTATGGGGTATGCAGGAGACAACCGATCAATGATTTCTCTCATCATTGATGTTTCTATCTCTTTCCCTCTCCCTTCCTCTCTGAAATCAATAAAAGTTTATTTTAAAAGAATAGAGGTGGGAAATTAAATGAGGTCCAAAACTGGGTTACATTAGTCATGTACATCACAAGCACATATAAAGGGAAACTGGCCAACAGTTTATGATCATTTATGTGCTTATTTCATTACTCATTCTTTAACAGTGATGTTAGCTAGATCTTTTGCTAGCTTCCTGGTCCATACAGGTTTTGTCATTGTCCAGTGGCATTCCTAACCATTAAGAGGACCTTGGCAAGCTAAAATGGGAACCAAGGGTGCTGTTAGATTTGTGTCAGCGACATCTGACTTCAAATAATGATAAGCACCTTGGTCAACACAAAAGACCTTTTTTACTGCTTTAAAAATATTTCAAGAGAAGAATTTTTAAGTGTAATACCTAATACCAGGTCATTTTATTCTTGTATAATTAGTAACATAATTTTTTTTGGTAACTAATTAGTAATTTCTTATACCCTCTTCCCAAAAGTGTGAGAGCAAAAAGGAGCTTCTTACAGTTTTTCAAGCTTGTGCTAACGTAGCTTCATGCATGATGTTTGTTTTCTTTCAGGGAAAGAAAGAGTTCCAGGTGTCCCTCTTCCAGACTCTGGTGCTTCTCATGTTCAATGAAGGGGACGGATTCAGCTTTGAAGACATTAAAATGGCCACTGGGATAGGTATGAAAACACTCGTCATGAATGTGTGGTTTTGAGTGCCCTTGTTTTTAAACACTCGCTTAAAAGGAGATGTAGACTGTGTCTCTGCATGTCTCTGCTTGCCATCCTTGAAAGTATGGTTTCTTTTATTTTTGTTGAGTGTCGTCATTCATTTTAATGCTAATCTGTGCCTGCATTTTTCTCCTCAACCAGAGGACAGTGAATTGCGGAGAACATTACAGTCACTGGCCTGTGGCAAAGCACGAGTTCTGATTAAAAGTCCCAAAGGAAAGGAGGTAGAAGATGGAGACAAATTCATTTTTAACGGAGATTTCAAGCACAAGTTATTTCGAATAAAGATCAATCAAATTCAGATGAAGGAAACCGTATGTATAAACTTTCTCTCTTTACTTATAGGGAGGATGTTCACCAAGGAATCACTGGTTTTTATAATTTCTTGATTGTAAGAGTTCTGAAGCATACTTCTAAAGTATCTAATTTGAATACAGTGTTTATAAGAGTACTCATTTTAATGTAGCTTTTGCTAACTTTATATTCACCATAAGAATGAAAATCAGAAAAGAAATGCATTTAACAGTTATTCACAAAAGTGGTGTGATAGAGCTTCCTATATCAAATTCTGTTAGTGGAGAGAGCATGTCATTTCCAAAACCCAGTGACTTGTCTTTTTATTTTTGCACAGCACATTTCAGCCATTCTCTCAGCCTCGGCCTCAGCCAGGGTCCTGGGGTGGAAGTGGTAAGAGTTGTGGGTGTCAAGGACCCACTGACATTGTATCTGTGATCTGTGTACAGGTGGAGCATCTGTAGCTTTGATCAGATTCTCAAGGTTCGTGTCCAGAGCAGGTTCTGGCCCACTGCCCTCAGGCCCTTCCTAATGCAGAAGCCCTTGCATCCCTGGGCTGTTACCAGACATACAGGCCAGGTGGGCAGGCCCACCCCTGGCACCCCATTTATATAACAGGGTGTCCAGCTGGCCCCCTTGTACATGTTAATGACTTGAAGAGAGGCCTTTTGAAGGAGTGAGGTCAATTCAGACAACACAAGGACAGCTTTCATTGATCAAATACTTTCTCCACCTCCAGCAGAAGACAGTGATTGCTTCACTTACATAGAGGTGTTCAAAGTAGCCTACAGAAAATATGTTTAGACTACACAAAAGAAATTAAAAAAAAAAAAACAATAAATACATAAAACATGTTCATTTTCACCGATAATTTTTGTGAAATTAAAGTAACATTCCATTTTTAATCTATCACTTTGAGAAATGTTTAAAAGTTTGTCATATCCGGGGCTGGTAATATATGGGAAAACAGACATTCTTTTTTTAAGGGTTTTGTTTTTGTTTTTTTAAGATGTTTGACATACACAGACCTGCCTGTCCTTCACCCCCTTTTGATCTGCAGGCCTCTATATATATATCCTGCATACTCCCTATTGGGGATCAAGCCCACAAACTGGGCATGTGTCCTGACCTGGAATCAAACCATGATTTCCCTGTTCACAGGTCAATGCTCAACCACTAAGCAACTGTGGTTGGCTTTTTTTTTTGTTAACCATCAAGTTGCAGTGTTTATTATTTGCTTCTGATAAAAGCTCTTTATCTGTTCAAGTTCTTTTATTTTTTTCTCATTACTCCTTATATATTCAAGTTTGTTTTCAATCAAGAATAGATTTTCAATTTTGTCATGCCTTATCAAGGTGATTATAATCTATAACCTTGAAATTATTGTGATGATTTCCCAATACTGAGAAAAGTTTACATTTCTGGAATAAATTCTGATGGCTAGTATGCTTTGTTTTGTTTTCATTACTATGCTCCTGGATTTAATCTAGGATTATATAGGGTATTTACAGCTTTTCTATTACTTTTAAAATTATTTTTCAAATTTGGTACTGAAGTTGTACTCTTTGGAAGCTAGGTTTTATTAGAACACAATGCATAGCAGAACAGGATTCATTTAAAGTTTGGCCTTTCTTGGCATCAAAAGTTTCTAGTCAAAGTCAACAGTATGACATAATACTAAAATACATCTTTACACTTCACTTTTGTCTTCTTTTGTGCAGGTTGAAGAACAAGTCAGCACCACTGAGAGAGTGTTTCAGGACAGACAGTATCAGATTGATGCTGCTATCGTCAGAATAATGAAAATGAGAAAGACTCTGGGTCATAATCTTCTAGTGTCTGAATTGTATAATCAGCTGAAATTTCCAGTAAAGGTAAATGTATATTGGCTTAATTAAAACTGTAGTATTGCCGAGACTGGTTTGGCTTAGTGGATAGATCATCGGCCTGTGGACTGAAGGGTCCCAGGTTCGATTCCGGTCAAAGGGCATGTACCTTGGTTGCGGGCACATCCCCAGTAGGGGGTGCGCAAGAGGCAGCTAATCGGTGACTCTCATCGATGTTTCTAATTCTTTATCCCTCTCTCTTCATCTTTATAAAAAAAAATCAATAAAATATATTTAAATTAAAAAAAAAAAAACTGTAGTATTGTGCCAGACCATTGGCGAAGCATGTTAGATTCTCATTACCTTCAGAATCATATCATTTGTTCTACATTATAAGTGATAATTTGCTTCAGAAATCTTCCGTTATAGATTTCTTCTATCATTACCATTATAGAAGTGATAGATATCTAAAATTCCCGCTCTAGAAGAGAGAAGGTACTACATGGAAATGGACATTTATTATCATCAGCTAAAACAATTCAAGTTATATCACAGGATTTTAAGGAGATCCTGCTAACTAATTTAATAAGCATTTTGCAAACTACAAAGCATTCTTTACTTCAGTAATACGTCTTCATTGCTATTGAGTAAAAAGTCTACCTAAAACCTTTCAGTCTGTGGGTATTTCCAGAACTGAGACCTGTCCTGCTGTATGTGGAATACAGGATAAGTGAGGGGAGCATGATGAAGAGCTTTAACGCATGTATGAATCCACCTAGAAAAATAAATAAATAAATTCACCTAGAAAATATGGGACTCTCATGACACCTGGCCTTTCAGTGACTAAGCCTGACACATGTGCTCTTGAGGTGGAAGTATCCTGAGTTTGTGTTATCCAGTTTGATAAAAGATTAGCTGGCCCTTTTTTCTCACCAAGGGAGTTGAGGTGGACTAATAAGTCTTGTCACTGAAATGGCAGGTGAGAATGCCATCCTGCCTCAGCAAATATCTGTAGAGGCAATGTGTGCTCCACACTGCTCTGCACAGTCATGGAACTGCCTCACGCCATTCCTCCCTACCACGAGCCAAAAAGAGTGTTGATTTCCCCTCTGCAGTTGAGAGACCCAGCAATTAAAAGACTAAATAGCAAGTAAGGTGTGCATCCAGCCATAACGCCTAGTTCTACTTTGATAGGTAATTGGATTTTAGCCACATATTATAAAATGTATGATCTATCACTAACTAGAAAGTTACAATGTTTGGAAGAAAGAATACACAGGTAAAAAACTTGCTCATAATTGTCAGCATAATCGCTTCCTAACAGCAGAGCCAGAGGGCGCTCTTCCTTGGCTGACATGTCATGATTACTTTCAGCAAAGGAATACTCAGAATGTGTGATTGTACTGTATAAATATAGCATATATAGTAAATATTAGTTCTTAGGGAGAAATATCCTTAACAGATGAAAGTGCCTTGAGACATCAGATTTCCCTTTCAAATAAACGGAATGTATTACCTAATAGGATCTGCCATGTACATATACTCATTAGTGATCAGAATTAATGTATTTAGCCGAAACCGGTTTGGCTCAATGGATAGAGCGTCTGCTTGGGGACTGAAAGGTCCCGGGTTCGATTCCGGTCAAGGGCATGTACCTTGGTTGCGAGCATATCCCCAGTAGGGGGTGTGCAAGAGGCAGCTGATCGATGACTCTCATCATCGATGTTTCTAACTCTCTATCTCTCTCCCTTCTTCTCTGTACAAAAGCAATAAAATATATTAAAAAAAAAAAAAAGAATTAATGTATTTACGTTTCACAAATTTCATATTTACCATAGGAAATCCTGCTCTGACAATAAATTCACATGGAACACTTTGATTGAGAAATAATGTTAACATTGTCTTTGAAGTAGGAAGTTTTAGTCTATTCATTTTATACTTACAAATAATAAATATGTATATTTATATAATTGTGTAAAATAAGCATAATTATAATCACATATTTTGTGTATGATGGTATATTCTCCTATGTTTGTAAATTTAATTCCACTGTAATTGTGTGTTTTTTCTTTTCTCTTTTAGCCTGGAGATTTGAAAAAGAGAATTGAATCTCTCATAGACAGAGACTATATGGAGAGAGATAAAGACAATCCAAATCAGTACCATTACGTGGCCTGATGCATTGGCCAGCTGTTTTCTTTCAGTGAGACACTGGAATGTATCTCCAAAACAGTGCACCACCTCTGTGCTGTTTCCAGGGCTTCCTGGGATTGAGCCAGCACAGACACTTCAGATTCGAAGGAAAGGAGATGATTCTTGGATAACCCTTCACAAGGCTTAAGGATTTGCAAATGTCATATGTATCTTTTCACCCTCCAGTTCTTCCTCTTGTTCTTTTAGGCATTTAAGTTGTTTCCATTGCTCTGTTCAGAATGACATTGGGATTGGACAGGAAGATACTGGTTAAGTGAGGTTCCTTTGTAAGGTGGTGTTGTTGTGGCAAAAAAAACAAAGTTTGGTTGGTTGTGTGTGTGTGATCATGAATGCACAATAAAAAGACCCTCAATGCTGCATTCTTTAGCTACAGAGATTACTTAGGTATTCCTGAAGATAAGCTATTTTAGTTCATGAACACTTAGATTAAAACAAGAACCCTTAATTGGTGAACATTAAGAAGAAAGTCAGTGTTAAAAACTGGCTTATTAATTATGCAATCTAAATACTGGCATCTATTTTTCATTTATTGTCAAAAAGTTTTAAACTTTAATGACTGATTTTTCTATAATGAGGTTTCTCAGTGAGATCTCTGATGTGCCAAGAGGACATCGGGTCTGATGTGTTTGGAGCAATGAACCCATCAGCGTCTTTATTTCCACTGAATTATTTGTGAATTTTCTGTTTAAGGGTTTGGGGGGGTAGTGTGTTTGTGTTTACCATTCTAAGATTGAGTCTAGCAGTCCCTGTACTTTGCATTGGGGTAACTGCTGTTTGATTTTTTTTAATTGCAGTATTTGTATGAATGGTATAATAAAGTTTGGTTTTGTTCTTACAGTCACGCACAGGGACAGTCGTCATTCTCTGTGCCATAACCACTGTAAAATGTTTTATAGGAGACTTAAAGTCTTTATTGTGAAGCAGAGGTTATTTTGTCAAAAGATTAAAAGGATTTCATTGGCACCTGGTTTCATGTTGTGTATGTATAGTGAGGTTGAATAGCAGATTATGTTAGTATGGTAACTTTAACAGATGCTTTTAGATAACATTTAAAACTACTTTATATTTTACATAATAGCATGTTTCATTTTGATTAAAAACTACCAAAGGAATTTTGATCATGGTAAAGTGTTTAAAGCAATATTTTCTGGATAACAAGTTTATATAATTTGGTTTTGTGCTAAATTTTTCAAAGATTCTGCCTTTTTGAAACATGCGTGTTTAAAATATGACATCTTATGGGTTTCCATGTGAAAATCCTCTAAGTATCATCATTTCTATATTTGTAAATTTTCATTTGAGTTCTATGATATATGGTCTATAAAACACCAAATAGATTTCTACTTATATTTTAATTTCACTGTCTCTAGACATTAATATTGTAATTTAATGTAGACTTACTCTGAATAAAATTAAATTGGCCTTAAAATTATATTAATAAAACTTTGTGGTATGCAGATGGCATTCCTCATAAATCTTTAGCAACTTAAAATTCATCACTAATACAACAGACAGAACCAGAAGCGGACAAGTGCCCATCACCCTCTCAGGAAATGATTCTGTCCTATCCGCTTTCGCAAACTACTCGGCAAAACATCAGCAGACTGGTCTGCTTTACAGTGAGCAACATACTGTACCTCTTATTGTGTTTGTTTCTATCCATTCAGTCATCAGTATCATTTAAAATTTTGCTATTGTTAAATGTTAATGTAGTAAAACAGTGTAGAGAAAATTATAGAAAAAGAAAAGGCACTTAAATGAGAAAAAAAACTATAAAATTGGAAAGGAGAAAGTAAAATTATTTACAGATAAATGATTCTCTGAAAAATCTAAGAAGTAAATGAAAATCTATGACTCAAAAAAAAGGAAATTCACTAAGTTTTTAATTAAACACAAAATTAACAGAAAAGTCAAAATATAATGGAAGACCATTTTTTCAGTAACAACAAAAAATGATAATACCTAGTAATGAGAAAATATCTATGCTATATGAATTTTATTTTTTCAATATATTTTTATTGATTTCAGAGAGGAAAGGAGAGAGAGAGAAATGTCAGTGAAGCCGAAACCGGTTTGGCTCAGTGGATAGAGCCTCAGCCTTCGGAATGAAAGGTCCCAGGTTCGATTCCGGTCAAGGGCATGCACATTGGTTGCGGGCACATCCCTGGTAGGGGGTGTGCAAAAGGCAGCTGATCAATGATTCTCTCTCATTGATGTTTCTAACTCTCCCTCTCTCTTCCTCTCTGTAAAAAATCAATAAAATATGTTTTAAAAGAATGTCAGTGATGAAAGAGAATCATTGATCCAGCTGCCTTTTGCACTTCGTCCCCTTCCCCCTCCTCCCCCCCCAAACACACACACACACGGGATCAAGCCAACAGCCCGAGCATGTGCCCTGACCAGGAATTGAACCAGTCTCCTGGGTCATAGATCAAAGTTCATACACTGAGCCATACCAATGCTGAAAAGCATTATTAAATTATTTATTTCTATATTTGTGCAGTATTTTAAGATGTCAGATGTCCCTTATTTTAAAACACAAATAGAGCCGAAACCGGTTTGGCTCAGTGGGAGAGCATCGGTCTGCGGACTGAAAGGTCCCGGGTTCGATTCCGGTCAGGGGCATGTACGTTGGTTGCGGACACATCCCCAGTAGGGGGTGTGCAAGAGGCAGCTGGTCGATGTTTCTCTCTCATCGACGTTTCTAGCTCTCTAGCTCTCTTCCTTCCTCTCTGAAAAAGTCAATAAAATATATTAAAAAATAAAATAAAACACAAATAGACATGGTGATCCTAAAGTTAAAACAAAAGCAAATAGTCAAATATTGTTTTCAAACCTATAACATGGTATAATTAAAACACCATACTACTGGCACATAAATGGATCTCTGAAACCCAACAGAATCCATAAATGAACCAAATACTTGAGAATGTGTATGACATCAAGAGGCATGTCAGGGAAAGGAAACGTTTCAACAAATACTGGCAAAATCTGGTTTATCAGCTTAAGAAAAGCAAAGTTAGATTATACTCATTTTTTATACTAATATACTAAGTCCCAAGTAGTCAAAGATTTAAGTGTTAGAAAATGAAACCATAGAAGAGAGGATCCAAGATGGCTGCTCGGGTAGACATCTAGCCGCAGCAGCACACAACAATTTCAATGGAATACAACTAAAATATAGAGTGGACATTGCCCAGAGCTACAGGTAGTCGACTGACTGAAATTTCTACAACAAGAAGGAAAGAGAAAATCAGAGGAGCTGAAAAAAAGCCTAAGGTACAGAGACATGCTGCGCGCGCGTCCGCCTGCAGGCACGCTTGGAGAGGTCGCAGCCGGAGAGGGCGGGGAGCCGCCTTTCCTTCCCTAGCAGGAAGGAAATAAAACCCCCAGCCTGGGCTGAACCCCCGAACCGGCAGTGCTGAACCCCCCCCCCCCCCGAACCCGGCAGCGCTGAGCCCCAGTTATGGGCCAGACCCTGGGGACCCAGGCTCCTGCGGGAGGAGACGGGGCTGTGAGGCGGAAAAACGGCGAAAAGCAGGGCCCCGGGAGTCGCGCGCAATGCGCGCAGAGGACTGAATGTTGACTGATGCTGGGTTGCCCTAGCCGGAAGAAACAAGGCCTCCGGCGGCGCTGAGCCTCAGTCCGGACTGCTCCGAACCCCAGTTCTGGGCCAATCCCTGGGGACCCAGGCTCAGGCAGAGGGAGACGGGGCTGTGAGGTGGAGTCTGGGGAGAGCGCGAAAGGCCGGGCCCCCGGGACTCGCACAAACTGTGCGCAGAGGACAGTCTGTTGACTCTGATGCTGGATTTCTCTAGCGGGAAGGAGAAAAAAAAAAGCTCTAGGCTGGGGGAACACGGAGGGGAGCGGAAGCCCCTGCCGGACTCCAGCCAACCGGGCACCAGCAAGGAGGTGGGCTCGGGACCCCTGGGGGCGTGGGTGCCCCTGAGCCTTTGACCAATGGAGCCAAGGCCGGGGGCTGCTTCCTGGGCTGCGCCATCCTGGCAACAGGCTGAAGCAGCGCAGGAGCCCGCGGAGAACAAAGGGGTGCCACAGGCCAACCTGCTGAGCTCCCAGGACAAGGAGGAAGAAACCAAAGAAGTTCTCAATGTGAAGAAATCAAGTGAGAGCAAAAAATAGTAAAATTACTTAAGAAAGAATACAAAGAAGATCTTGAAAAATCAAAGACTAAGTCAGAACTCAACTCACCAGCCAACATTGCAACATAAATGCGTTTTAAAAAGAAAAAAGAAAAAAAAGGACAGAATGTTGGAACAGCGGTGGCCAGGCCTAGAGTGGCCAGGCACAAGGCAGTGGCAGCCAGACCCGGAGCAGCAACGGCCAGGCCCCAGAACAACAGCAGCCAGAACCAGAGCATCAACAGCCAGCACTGGAGTAGCCAGACCTGGGGCAGTGGCAGCCAGGCATGAGGCGGAGGCGGCCAAGCCCAGGGTGGCCAGTCCAGGAACACCCAGACCCGGAGTGGCCGGGCCCGGAGAAGCTGGGCCCAGAGCAGCCGGGGTGGGAGCAGCCAGACCCAAAATAGCAGTAGCCAAGCCCAGAGCATCCAGGTCGGGAGTGGCCAGGCTCGGAGCGGCCGGGCCCGGGGCAGCCGGGCCTAGAGCAGCCGGGTCAGGTGCGGCCAGGCCCGGAGCAGCGGCTGCCAGGCTGGGAGCGGCCGGGCCCGGGGGAGCAGGCGGGGCTGGTGCGGCCAGGCCCGGAGCAGCGGCTGCCAGGCTGGGAGCGGCCGGGCCCGGGGGAGCAGGCGGGGCTGGTGCGGCCAGGCCCGGAGCAGCGGCTGCCAGGCTGGGAGCGGCCGGGCCCGGGGGAGCAGGCGGGTCGGGTGCGGCCAGGCCCGGAGCAGCGGCTGCCAGGCTGGGAGCGGCCGGGCCCCGGGGAGCAGGCGGGGCTGGTGCGGCCAGGCCCGGAGCAGCGGCTGCCAGGCTGGGAGCGGCCGGGCCCCG